ACAAGTCATTGGATTCATTTATTATGGAATCATGGAATGATGTATATTCATACATACAATGGATCGAATATTCTCTATTGACTAACGTACAAGAGATGACATCGTTACGCCACAAATGCACGCATATAGCGGAATGGTTAAAACCGAAAACAAATGAATTGACTCGCGTAACGCTCAAAAAGATAACTGGCAAACAAAACGATCAGTCATTTGATGCTCATCCGGTAAATATTTCCCAATTGATAAGTCTGTATTGCGCGCGTTTATTATTATTTGTAACGATTGTATTTGTTTACTGAAATAGGTAACCAAGGAATTCCCAGAGATATTAACACCCGAGAACGTTTGGATAATTGGGATTACTCAGAAGCCGTCTACTCGGGAATACTATTTAGTGTTCTACCATGACAGTCAGATATTGGACAAAATTATGAAACGATACCATCATTTAAAGTATATCCAGTATAGCGACTTTCACAAGTTCAAAGAGATTGGATCTGGTAGTTACAAAACAGTATATGCTGCCAGATATAACGATAAGAAGTATCAAGAAGGAAGTTAAATACGAAATACTGTTGTACTCAAACGATTTACGAGGTTTGATACGGAATTATTTATTTACGAGGTAAGCAACAATAATAATTGGTAGTGTCATTCCAGTGACATTTAATTTGATGCTGTAATTATTTTTATTTAATAGTTAAGAAACCTTGTCAAGTGCACACAGGATCGTCATTTCCTCGATCTTTATGGAGTCACACAAAATCCAGAAACAAAAGAGTACATGATTGTTATGGATTATGCTAACAATGGTAATCTTTTGTCTTATTTGGATCAAAACACTAACAAATTAACGTGGATGAGAAAATTAGAATGTTTGAGGGATATTGCACGGAATCTGGGAACTATTCATGGTGTGGGATTAGTGCATTGTAATCTGCATGGCGGTAGCATAGTTTTGTACGATAATACACCATACATATGTGATTTGGCTCACTCACGATCATTGAATTTACATCAACAAAATTCAAACATTCGAGGCGTTTTTTCCTTTATTGCACCGGAAGTTTTTCATACTCGCAAATTTACTCAGAAATCAGACATGTATTCTTTTGGCATCATTATGCATTTGATAGCTACTGGCGAACAACCCTTTAGCGATAGGCAATTCGGCAAAGATTTAATACGCGATATTATGGGCGGACTACGACCATCGATGCCTAATTCCGCACCAATGGAATACAAAGCACTTGCCGAGCGGTGTTGTGACGCTGATCCTGATAAGCGGCCAGGGAATGGACGGGCACTTTACAATGATATTGATGATATTCTTTATGAGGTGCGCAACGGCTATTCTGACAGTAACGCATGGACTGCTGTTCATAATAATTCCTTACCAAACGAGTCTTCGCCAGGCATCCGATATCGTCTGGTTGCCTCCGTGAGGAAACGGATAAAAAGGATGGGTATTTGAAATAAATCTCTCAGATTCCAAGATTCTTAAACGTAAAAATTGCTTGTGCATACTCACCTTCTGAATCTAAATCTTGTAAACGACCCATGAAGTGGCCAATTAATAATAAGCTCACACCCCGCTCTCAATTAAGAAAACTTCTGACCCCTCTTGTAAGGACTAAAACCTTAGTTCATTCGATGGTACAGTATTAAGTATTACGCGAGCGATAACCATCAACACATTCATATCCTTTCATAATATAACATCCAAAATTCAATAATGTGTTCAATATCACGGCATTCTTTGGCATATCATCATCCGCTCGTAATTACCTAAAACTTTTTCTAATATGCTCTTTTCGTCTGAATAAAAATGGATACATTTCATGGTAAAGTAGCTGTTGTAAGACTGATTTCATCATCCATCTTCTGCTCAAACTGACAGAGTGTATTGATGCATTGCTTTAAGCATTCGAGTGACTTAAGGCCAAGGAAGACGACTACGTCTTTGCACTCGATACGCCTCACTGCACGTCGAGCACTCTCCCACTTTCATGACCAACGCACACACTTTAAATATCTCGATCATAGCCCATCCATAAGTAAGTCTCCAACTTAACTTCGCTAACATGTGACATTGCCAAAGTTATGTCATCCATTGACTCACAAGCTCGGGTAATTCGATGTGGTGTCGACAAGTGATCGCTGCTGCTATCACAAATTCCAGACTAAAAGAGTTCAAACAAGGCATAGCGAGGAAACATATGTTTTAATAGCAAACGAGTTGTCGTCCAATTTCTAAGATTGATCCAGGGTATTAGTTATCGTTAGGTAAACTGTACAAACAGTAATCATTATCACTCACATAGCAATTAGCTGTGCTGATTGCTATCCCAAATTTGCATTCTTGATATTCCATCGGTAAGAGTATGGTACTCAAGCGACACATAGCGCATACAAAGGTCTACAAAGCACCATCCATCCAGTTATCAAGTAATTGTTCAACTTGCATTAATAATATATCGCGACGACGGTGAATTGCTGAGAATCGGAGTTGCCCCGATAACGCACATGCCCCGCCCGAATGATTGCTGATGAAAACGCTCCATGATGGCTACCCAACTTTCGTAAATTACGCAATGCACTTCAAGCCTATATCAGAATGGAATACAATTTGCTAATAAGGTGTCAATTACGAATCGCCTAATACGCCCACCAAGAAATTGGGCGACGTTTCACGTCCACTAAAATACTCACCGGTGCTATTCTGTTTCCCGCAATCACTGATGCAACAGCACTTGGAGAGACGCTCCTTACAAATACTTGTTAGATATGCGTCACGCAGTGTAGTGAGATGCAGTTTCGACATGCTCGTAGGAACTTCAAATAGTTCTTTTACGTTAGCCCACTAAGAAAAAAGCGAGAAGGCAGCCTGTCACGCAAGCATTTGCCGTGTCTCTGACTAGCAACTATGTCTTTGCTAGGTGTATGGCTTGCTCAAAAATTGATGTAGTGGATACTAGGACATCAGATCACCAATTACAATGGGCAGATGGATCAAACCAATGGATTAACATGCTGGAAATTTGACAATTTTGGTAGCCAACTCTAATTGTTGGGCAGAGAATAGCCAGAACTTGGGCGAGAATAAAGAAATAATAAGCGTTTACCGGTATATATTTCAAAATAAACTTGGAAATTGTAAAATCCTCTAAACGTCAAAAAGAGCAAACCACCAGTCACCATCATCGTCATTATTATTCAGAGTTTTTACAGTTATAAAACCTATAAGAAGTAAAGAGTGAAACGCCTGCTTGTCTCAACGTTATCTGAGTGATGGAAGATGTTGAAAATTTATGTTGGAAAGTCAATTCAAATTATCACTGAAATTTGCTCGGTCCGAATTCTCCGGCAGAAAGTTTCCGATTGAAACTCAATAAGGAACAATGATTATTGATTAATTCATGCGTGTGTAATAATTACTATTCATCTATGACTGATATGCCACAGCTAATAGAATTCTAATTCGATATTTTAAATATCCTGTAATTTGCAGTGTTAATGTCTTCTTTTCCTCGTGATTTTGTTCCAACAGAACTTTCGTTTCGAGGCATAAATGATGTATTTATGATGCAATGTTCACCGCTCCACATATGCAGAACAGTGAAAAACGAACTGATAGATAGCAAAAAAAGTAATCGAACAATCGAGGGTCATGCAGCACAAAGATCTTCGTAAAGGCATAGATGACATCATGTAAAACTATATATAATCATGTACATCGTATGAGTAATTGTCTTCGAGTAATTCCAAGTATTGTATAGATGATTATAATATGGGTTTTGACAAGAACGTCATAATTTGCATTATTGAACATGTCCCCCTTTTCTAATCACCAGGTACAACTGCTAAATGAGATATACCGAAACAGGTAAAGGTGACTTAATCGTTATCATCCTTAATTAATGTAATTTGGTTTGTATACCGTTCTTCAGACAGTCTGGTTATTTTCTAAACCTCACCAAAAAACTATTTGCTTTTTATAAACAATAATTTTACTCATTGATTAGTCTTTGGCAAGTGAGAGCATATTATCAAACAGACACATACGAATCACTGAATGTGATTAAGATTATTAATTAATTGAACGGCAAACTATTATTGCCATATAATATATTTTGTTATAATTTTAGAAGAAAAAGCTTTATTAAATACTTTAACACGTGTAAATATATGTAGCGCATAATGCATGCTTAAAAATTTTTCGTCCGGATAAACTTTGTTATCAAATATAAAGTGATTTTGTCTATTTTAGCACTTGCAGTAACTATTACCAATATTGTATTACCAATTGCATTCAATAATTCTCCAATTTTGTTTTTTCTCCTGCTTCTTTGTTGTTTTCCTATCAGTTAATGCTGTCCTTTATATGAGATGCGTTGTAATTGATTGAAGTAGAATCTTTAATTCAATTTAACGGTCATTCTTTGGACTTAACTTGGCTGCGCGGTTGGCATAAATGTTATTTGCACAGACATTCGAAACAAGCAGGCCGGCAGGCTCAAGCTTTGAATTCATGTTGTGGGGATGCTAACTGTAAAGCTACCTAATGTGTTTGTCAGTATATAATATAATTAAATTCATAATGTTGTTGCCGTATCTATAGATTATCATTGCATTTTTCGCCGTAGCACTCCATCCAAAAACCTGAAATTATTTTTTAGAATTTGTGTAAATGGTTTTGGTCAAATAACAATGAATCTTAGCTTATATTGCATCATCGGAATAGTAATTCCGGGCATAAATCGTCTGCATGTCGATATATTAAGAGCTATGTTAGATATTAATAGTAACATAGAAAACGTCTATACTATTTATATGCCTATACAATAAGAACAATGCTTCACGGTAACTGTTTGTATAACATGTTTGAAGAAGGACGGGTAGAAATTAGAACGCGTTCTAATAGGTTATTTATACACTGTGTGACGACAATGTTTGTGCAATATAAATTTGTCGGTTTTCCTTTTGCTGGAATATAAAAAATGAACTCAAATTTAATTAATGAAAGCCCAAATTTGCGTCAGCCTTATTCTCTGACAGAATTATGTACAGCGACCAATTCTACTTGTACAGCAACGTGTCTTGTTAATAATCTCACACCAAGCGAACTGGAACTTTTTTGCAATCCACCCTACACTCTTACCTTATCTTGCGACAGTATTCTCAATCCCATACGCAAGCGACGCCAAAACAGCGGCAAGAAGAGCTTGCCTCCCAGACCTCAAAATGGTTGGATATTATTTAGGCGTAATTTTGAAAGTCAAGTACGTTCTCAATGTCCTGGCGGGTCCAATACTCTCAAAGAAATTTCCAAGCTGGCAGCCGAAAGTTGGAAAAGTCAACCAGAAAAAGTCCAACAGTATTTCAACGTTCTCTCGAAATTAGCTTCACACAAACACAAAATCATGTATCCGGAATATGTCTACAATCCGAAGAAATTTAAGAATGGTGAAAACTTTGTATTTAGACATGTGGACAAGGACAAAATTGTGAAAAGTCGTAACAGTAAAGCGAGTTTATCTAAGAAGACTAAACCAAGCAATTCGAGCAAAGGTGACTATACTAGCATTATCAAGAATGAAGGCTGTCCAGAAAATAACAGACGACAGTCTATCTTGCTAAGTCCGAGTACTTTTGTCGATTTTTCGGATTTGCTTCCCTCCCTCCACGATCTTTTTATGCTTTCTCCAAATTTCATTCAATATTCTTCTTACTTTTCTCAATGTCAATTTTATAATGATATTAATGATGATAACAGAAATGCTGCAAAGCAGATAAGTTATACGAATTTGAGTTTGAATTTGGACATTATTCCTGTTAATAAACTCAAATAGTGGTCAATGTTATTTGGGCGTGTGTGAAACTTTAATATTTTTGTAAAAACTGTTATTCCGTGCAACGATTTTATCAAGTAGATTTGAGTTTTACGAAGATTTTTAGTAGACATTTATTGTATTTATAAACAAAGGTGTGAGATTGTTATAGAGTTAAAGAAAAAATTGTCTTACTATAAAGCCAAACAATTTTTTCCTAACATATTTTGTTTTACTCGTTCGCAATACTAACTGACTATTATTTTTTATCAATGATCGAAAAAAGTTGAAAAAAAAGACCGACATTGTAAGACAAGACAGATTAGAACTAAAGAATATAACAATAAGATTATTAATCTAGTACAAATTATATTATTATAGGTTAAGTAGGAGAATTACAACTCATTTGCAAAAAATAAAATTTATGACATAAACATTTAAAATTGTCTTAAAATATCTATTTATAATTTTTATAAATTTACATTCATTATAAGAAGTATAGAAAGCACTACAAGTACCAAAAAAATAGTAGAACAGCTTACTTTTCGTTGCCGAATCATTGAATTCTAATGTATTATATAAAATCGCCAATTATAATAAAATATTCATTTAGCACATATTATATACAATAGTTGAGATTTTCTCATATAGTTTCATTACTTTTCTTTAGTCTCCAAACCGAGTTCTAATAAAACATAAAACAAAATTTAGCTTGGATATGGATTTTGATGCGTCGATGAGTGATTGGCGTCGATAACAAATGAGATATTACTAAATTCCAGACTAAAAAAGTTCGCACAATTGAACGAGGTATAGCGAGTAGCGAAACGAAACATAAACTTTTGACCAATCAACAGAAAGGACAAAAGCTTCAGGAGGAGGGTCAGGAAGGAAACTTCTGCTTATGTTTTGGCAGTACTCGTTTTATTATACACGTACTTGTATTTAGAAATATGGTTTGATAACAAACAGGCTGTCGTTTGATTTCTAAAATTGATCCAGGATGTTAATTATGTTAAAAGTCAAAAGCAGTAATCGTTATCACTTACATTTACCTCGTAACAATTGGCATGCCGATTGATATCTCACATGCCCATTCTTGTCGGGGCTCATAAAACTGGCATTTCTCTGGTAAGAATACTGTACTCAAGCAACTTGCAGTATTACCCCGTCGAACAGTTGAGATACTTGTATTTAAGTCACTGGCGATGCGGGTTGCTGAAAATCCGAGCTGCCCCACGATAATGTCCATTAGAAGCAGTATTTGGTCACGTACTCTCGCCCGAGTGACTGATGGGATGCTGCTGATCAAGACGTTCCGTTGATGACTACCCAACTTTCGTGAATTAAGCAATGCGCTTTCGAGCATATTTCGGAATAGAATATAATTTGCTAATAAGGTGTCTCTTATGAATGGCCTAATACCCTACCGAGAAATTAGGCAATGTTTAATAAAATTTTCAAGACTCACGCCCACTGAAATACTCAACGGCCGCTGCTATTCCGTTTCCTTGACGTAATAACACTTGGAAAGACGGCTTCGTCACAAAACTTTTTAAAATGCAAAAGTTTTGATATGCTCGTAGGACATTTTAAAAAAATCTTCAATTAGCCATTTTGGCATGCAAGCCTTTTTCCACGTCTCTGACTAGCATACATACTACAGTACTTTATTTCCGGGAATTGGAGCTGATCTACCCTATCACAAATGTGATAATGCAAGTACTATTGAATTATCGGGTATAAATTTACGCTTTTTTGAACACCAGATCACAACAGCGTGGATCGATACAATGGAAAATAATCGAACCAATTGGTGATTATGAGCATATAAACCACGAGACAAACTTTATAATTGTGGAAAAAGTTTAGATCACACATTTTGGCGCTATATTGTCAATTATTAGCCGTTATGATCTTGTTGTCTACTTGTCTGTTTGGACAATAATGAAGACAGTAATCTAAACGTCTGACAATGTAAAATCACTATTATTCAGCGTTTTCATAACTGCGGAAACCTTTAACTGCTATAAGAATCAATACAGCATGTACACAGCGAAACCGGATATAACGAAGGAGACCGTGCAGACACTTTTCTTCGTTATATCGAGGGATTCGTTATATCCAGGAAATTTTACTAGACAAAATTCGAAACATCAAAAAAAAAAAAAAGCATCGCTATATCCAGGGTTTCGTTATATCCAAACTTCGTTATTTCCAGGTTCACTGTGTATATAAATAATCACGTGTCCGTAAATTTTTGATGGAGATGCTGGGAAAAATTAGTATGCCGAAGATGGTGGCGTGACCGTCAATTGATTTTTCAAAATTATCGCTCAAAAATGACAGGCACGACATCAAAACCTGCTGACAAATATTGTAACGTATGGGTGCGCCAGAGTCGTCAAAAGTCTGTATTTTTTTACAGATTCTGAAAAATGATACCAACAGTTTGATACTTTTCATCCAAACATTTAGTAGCACAAAAATATACTTGATTTACATTTATGGAAAACTACAGAACTAAACGCTAAATGACTTTTTCAAATCCGGTAACTTTATTTATTCAAGAAACGGTATAACGAGGATGGTTAACAGCGAGACTTGAAATAGTGAGCGATTGAAAGAGTGCAAGTAATTACAAGAGGAGTGAATGAGAGCGGGAGGGTGAGTTTGAAAAAAATTAGGAGTGATCGAAAGAAAGAGGGGAGATCAAAAGCGCAATAGCTAGAGAAAAGAATAATTAAACAAAAGTGTGAGCAATGGGAAGAGAATTGAACAGTGAAGGGAAAGTGATTCGGAGAGTGGTTGGGAGAATGATTGTGAGAATAATTGTGAGAATGGTTTGGAGGGTGTTGGGATCCGTAATACATACATATGTGGGGTAAGCGAGATGGAATATCTGAGACTATTCTATTAGCAGGCTACTAAAGTTTCTCTTATATGCTTTGAAGCACAACTTACTACAACTGCAACAGCTACAAAGAATTTATGTAAGTACCAAGCTGTAGTCCTAATTTCGTTGACGAGAGTTAGGGTTAGGGTAGGTTGCAAGAGCGCTCAAAATGGATTCTTTACAAATTGTATTTTGAAACTTAACATATTTGCTGGATATTGCTATTGCATGTGATTAATATAATTTATGTATATTTTGGTTGTGGCTATTTATATTACTATTGGTGAAAATTGATTTAGCATCTTTGAAGGATCAAGCCAGCCGTCCATGCATATTCAAATCGTACTTAATATTCTGTCTTAATTTTTCACACACACATTGGTAACAGTTGCTTTTAATATACTGTACGTGTAGATTATATCTTTGGTCGTTGTATATTATTGATCGACGGCGAAAATTGATTTCGCGTCTTTGAAGGATCAAGCCAGCCATCCATGCATATTCAAATCGTACTTAATATTCTGTCTTAATTTTCACACACACATTGGTAACAGTTACCTTTAATATACGTGTAGATTGTATGAGCATTGGATCTTTGGTCGTTGAATTATTATTGATCGAGAAACTATTACTAGATGAAAACAATACGCGGCACCTTTATAATTACAAAACTAGATTATGATGGTAATCCCGTGTAATGCTGCCCAGACATCTTAGTTTGTGCCTTTGACTTCCGTTCCGGTCTGAAGAAATATGTATGCCATGTCATTTACATTTCAACAGTTTAGCAGAACTAGAAGGAAAAATCTCGCCGTTAAAATCTTTACATGTCAAAATTTATTAATGTATATAGCCATTTTTAATTTTGATAAAAAAGTAAACGTCCGTCGAAGCAGAGACCTAGACTTTTGAACTCTTTCATAATATATCGCAGAGATTTTCAAAAGAAAGTCAAATAACAGCATCCAAACATACTTACATCCGAACTGTCAAGAATCAACAAGAGTGTAGCAGCTCGATGGGCGAACGAGCCACAATCTGTCAAACAATATGCCGAAAAGGTAAAACGGGAGAATGAGTTACACACGAAGATATATCCAAGCTAATGCCTGCAGTTTATGTGCACGCTTACTACAATAATAATATGTACTGTATAATTTAAAAGATTGTTAGTAAATATGTACGCAGTTTTTTGTTATGTCAGATGTGCACGGAACTAAGCCAAGCCTTCGATGCAAATACGCTACGACACAAAATCATACAATAAAGCGCACAAATTTATGGGGAGACGCAATAGTTATATAAAAAAACGTAAGAAAAAAATTTTTAGGTTATAAGTTGCCCTATTGAAGAATACGTTATGAGTCTTTTGCGTCAAACAAACGCCGTTGTCGTGATGTTACACGTGGGAGAGCGATCGTGTAATCTTCTTGAGATTTATCGGCAATGCCTACTAATGCTAATTCTTCTAAACAGTTAAACAGGCTTTGAATACTACGAATAAATCGTATCGTATACGCTAATCCGTTGATATCTATTCAACCTCGAGTAATTATCGACGATTATGATCCGATGGGATTAATTTCGGAAATCTATCGTTTGGGAAAGGTTTCTAAACTAACGCGTTTATAGACAATTAAATAAATATCATGCAAAACCGATATAACATGCAAACTCAAGGGCAAAACTAAGTCGCAGCTGAGAGTCCGGATAGCGGTTTTCGCTACTCTCAGAATCGATGAATTCAATAGAACCACAGGATTTTA